ACACGACGTGTACTCACGTGCACATGGCTTGTGCTCACACACAGATGTCCATGCATGTACACGTGTCACGTACACAAGTACACATGAGAACACACGTGTGTGTGTGTGTGTGTGTGTGTGTGTGTGCAGACTACCTATCCACACGCATGCACAAATGTGGCGTGTACCTGGGTTCGTGCGTGCATCTGCCTGTGTACAGACACACTCGTGTGCACAGTGCATGGACACAGACCCATGTCTTCACAGACAACTTCCTGCGCGCACACGTGGTGCACCTTGAGAGCACACTGGACTCCAGGGCCCTGCACACGAGCCCAGAAGTCAGCGTGCCCCTCCCCTCCATTACAACGCCCACGGGCTGGCATGGCCCCATCCCTCCCCTCCCCGCTGGCTGGCGTCAGCCCTCATGAGATGCCGCCTGTCTGTTTTTGTTCATTTCTCCTTTGATGCAAATGTAACTGGTTGTTTTGGGGCTTTTTACAAAGTGATGTGGAGAGGTGTGGGAATCCTGACACCTCCTCTCGCCTGGGCTCAGCACCAGATGGTGCCAACCCTCTGTGTGGACCAGACACGCGTCCTAGTTCCCTCAGTAGCCCTTCACGTCGATGCCCACCTGGGTCCCTGAGACCAGGCCACATGCCTAGTCCTCAGTGTGGTGCACCTCTGCCTACTGTGTGCTAACCCTTTTCAAAATGCACGGGCTACCGGCACTGTCCACTGTGACAGTCCACTAAACACACCCCTGACCACCCAACCACATCCACTGTGACGGTCCCCTTAACACCCCTGACCACTCAGCAGTGCCCACTCTGACCATCGACTAAACACACCTGGCCACCCTGCAGTGCCTGCTAGAAAGTTATCTATAAACATGGAAAAGCTGACCCCTCAGGTCTGTCCATCCTCATGCAGCGGTCATGTGGGCTCTGTCCATGGCTGTTTGGTGGCCCCTCCCCATCCTGCAGCCCAAGTTCTGTCCTGTGTTTACACATCTCCTTGGCGGTCAGCTCATGATGACCTCCAACTCAGAGTAGACCCACACGAACAGGAACCAGATGCAGGTGACGGGGTGGAATCCTGAAGGGCTGTCTGGAGGAGTTGGCATGTGGGCAGTCCCACACAGTGTCCAGGACCCAAGTGGGAAAGCCCTCCCTGTAGGCGCTTGACCCGATGGCCATAGGGCTCACGGGCAGGCAAGTGGTGCTGTCAGATGGAGTTTCTGGTCACTATTTAGGAGGGCTGGTTCTCAGGGTCACTGGGCCCAGGTTCCCTGGTGGTCCCCACTCTCTCTTCCATCTGCTACAAGAGGCCTGTTGGGGGCACGCCAACTTCCTGTCTCCCCATCTAGGTCCAGCCATTGTCTGCAGGAGAGGATGGCCCCTGTGCTGGAAAGACTAGCCAGGGGCAGTGGGGGGCATGGGAAGCAACCCTTGACTCCTGACAACAACAGCATACCCCAAATTGGTGGGGTGTGACCCTCCCCAAGAAGGGACACCCCCTAGGAAGGAAACCTCATCGTTTCAGCAGAGGAGACACGCTCTGGCCCTAACGGTGACTTTCACCTGCTTCTCTACTGGGCGGGGGGAGCACCACCCCTTGTCCTGTCCAGGGTGGGGTCTCACCAGCAGATGGGGAGCCAAGGTTGCAGCTGCTAGACAGGGCTTTTGAAGAGAGACCTGAGGTCTGCGCTTGTTCCTGTGAGGCCTGGGGACATGGCCAGCTGCCCCCTTCCCCCACAGAGCTCCTTGTGGCCCATGACCTTCGGCCTGGCCTGCTGCGCGGTGGAGATGATGCACATGGCTGCGCCCCGCTACGACATGGACCGCTTTGGCGTGGTCTTCCGCGCCAGCCCACGTCAGTCCGACGTCATGATTGTGGCCGGCACGCTGACCAACAAGATGGCCCCTGCGCTTCGCAAGGTGGGCCCGCAGCCCCTCCCCAGGATCCCAGACCCGAGACCGTGCCTGGAAGGGAGATGCCCCTTCCTCTGCCCCAGCCCTGCCCAGAGTCCACTCCTGCCCACCTGACCTTGCCACACTGCCTGGCCCCAGAGCATGGGGAGCCCTGCGCCCTGACAACCCACCCCGCCTCTCCCCAGGTGTATGACCAGATGCCGGAGCCCCGCTATGTGGTGTCCATGGGGAGGTGAGTGCCCGCCCCCCCCTCGCTTTCCCCCC